GGGGGTTTGGTGGGTTGGGGTCTGCTTCGTCTTCGGAGGATGGGTCTTCGTAGTCTTCGTAGTCTTCGTCGTCTTTGGCCTCGGTGTCGGTGTCGGTGTCGGTGTCGGTGTCGGTGTCGATGTCTTCTGATGTGATGGTGGTGGTGCTGGTCACGTTGACATAAGGGGATGAGCTGTGATGAGGACCGGAGAGTGCAGCTCCAGCTCCAGCTCCAGCTCCAGCGACTGGCCCAGAGGAACGCAGTGCGTAGCGGAAGCTGTGCAATCTACGCAGCATGGCTAGCTCGGGAGGAGACTGCGCCTGAGACTGGTCCTGAGACATGACGGTCAAGTGAACTCGGCTCTCGAGCTTTTGAGATTTCCTTGCTGCAAATTAGAGGAAGAGGGGAGTTTAGTTGATGGCTTTGATGATGATGGTGATGCAGAAGAGTTAAGAGATACTTACTGGGTTTAGAGCTGATGAGCCGGTAGCAAAATAAGACCAGCTTAAGAGTTCTTAGGATTGTCTGCTGAAGCTCGGGAAAGAGGGGACCTGAGTTGATGGATTGAAGGAGATGAGGATGCAGAAGACTTTAGAGATACGTCCTTGCTTTGGAGATGATAGAAGGTAAAGAGCTGATGGATTCAGAATATGTGACGCTGGGGAGGGAGGATAGTAGAAGAAAGAAGAAAACAAAAAGCAGAATATCGAAGATCTTAAATATTTGGAAACTGGTATGATGACTATCTATAGGGAGTCTACTTGATATAAAGATCGAACTCTTGGGATAATAAGAGTCAGCGGTAGCTGATAGAGTTCCTATTCACTATACCAAACTGTTGCCTCTAGCTCTATAGAAGCTTTGAGATGCTATTGGTTGAGGCGGGTTGGATATACATATTACCCCAGTGATTCTCAGGGCTATTTGCCCCACCTGCCGAGATACTCTCAGCTAGCTGGACTAGTCTCACTCCTGCTTGATGAGTGTGCTTGCGCATTGTAAACTGTTGTGAAGATTCATGTTAGTAGACACATGCTATCATCTGTGATGGCCAAGGCCCGGCCGGGCTGAGGTACCATTTCCTAATACAGTTAGTGATTTCTGGGGTATGGGGCAGAGCTCGGCGGAGAGATGACTCAGCAGGCTGCTAGCTGCTCACCGCTTGCCCCTTGCTCTGATAGAACCAAGATCCGCACTCTGCCTGCAGAATTATCGCCTCTCTGTAGGCGGTCAATACAGCTTTGTGTTTTGACACTGTCTTTGCAGGTAGAAGAATGCCAGACATAAGCTAAGAGTTTTAAGTTAATCCGACGACTACCTCTTACTCTCTCTTGACATATTGTCTTATTACTAGGTCCTTTTCTAGTAAGAATCCTGAGCTTTAGTCTCAAGAACAGAAACTATCTATCTTCTCTAATCCACAGCTAACTTACAGTACAGCCTGTCAGACGAGATAAGCTGATAAGCACCGCGCCTATAAAACCCGCCCGTATAGCATATTTCCTGCTCCCCCACAATTTCCTCCCCCTCTTTTTCTGTTCCCATCTGCGCCAAACCTCCATCCTACACCACCCTCTCACACCTACCCCCCAGCAAAACCCCCGCCATGACCGCCGAAGGCCTCACCCCGGAGCAACTCGCCTTCTTCCACGAGAACGGCTACCTCGTCCTGCCCGACCACCTCACCCCGACCGAGGTCCAACGCTGCCTCACGGAGACCAACCACCTCCTCGACACCTTCCCGCTCGACACCCACCCGCTCACGCAGTTCACCACGGGCGACGATGACACCCAAAAAGAGCATGTCGGCGACGACTACTTCCTCACCTCGGGCGACAAGATCCGGTTCTTCTTCGAGCCGGACGCTTTCGACCGGGACACGCCGGGCGCGCTCCTCAAGCCCAAGCAGCAGGCCGTCAACAAGATCGGCCACTCCCTGCACAGCCTGTCCCCACCGTTCCGCGAGGTCAGCCTGACCCCGCGCAACGCCGCCATCGCCCGCTCCCTCGGCTTCCACGACCCCCGCGTCCTCCAGAGCATGGTCATCTGCAAGCAGCCCAGCATCGGCGGCGCCGTGCCCAGCCACCAGGACTCCACCTTCCTGTACACGGACCCGCCTTCCGCCGTCGGCTGGTGGTTCGCGCTGCAGGACGCCGCCGTCGAGAACGGCACCCTCGGCATGGTCCCCGGCTCGCATCGGCGGAATGGCATCGCGCGGCGGTTCGTGCGGCGCGTGCCCGATGGCAGTCGCGGGACGGAGTTCGTGGAGAATACCGGTGCCAGGGTGCCCAAGGGCTTGGTTGAGGAGGAGACGCAAGATGACGGGGAGGTGCAGCTGTTGGATATCAAGGCCGGCTCGTTGGTGCTCATTCACGGCAATGTCCTGCATCAGAGCTCGAGGAATACGAGTCCCCGGAGTCGGTTCGCGTATACCTTTCATGTCATCGAGGGCGCCGAGGGCTGGGTCTATGATGAGCGGAATTGGTTGCAGCCGCCCGAGAATGGGGAGGGGTTTACGCGCTTGGTTTAGGGGTGGGGTTGGGGTTGTATATTCTTGACTACGGTTTGTGGATGGACAGTGTAGCTGCAATGATTGTATATGCAATGAAAATGAGCTTGTCGACTATGTAGATGGGGAGATAACTCGTAGACCTTCATGTCTATCTTTTGATTTTGCTGGGGAATCATGGAGGGGCTGACTACTACGGAATAACTACTTTCAAACGGCAACATCTGATGGCGTTGCAGCCGCTGGGCAGCAAACTCCCACTTCCCCTATCAACATCTACTAACCGTCCAACACAACACAATCGTGCCTGTGCCAATACCACCACGTCTATCCTCCTCTTTCTTGGGGAGGGGGGGGCGTTTCACCAAGAATGGATTCTCGTCCCCATAGGCTTTGTTCGGCGGTTTCAAACCGTTCGTTCCCTGTTCTTTCAAACGAGTTGAAAGAATACAAAGCATGACCAACCAACCCTTTCATTTGCAAGTGGACAATGATCCAGCGGCCAAAAATATGTCGCCCACAAAGGGCCGGAGGCTGCTGGTCTTTCACCGGTGATGAACTCAAGCAACATAATTATAGATTTCCATCTGGGTGGGAAGTGGCAGTAGATGAACGATGTACATAAAGCCTGACCGGTAACGTTTCTCTTCCTTGAGAGAAACATTTTGGCAATCTTCTGACTCCTCATCGAAAGAATCAACCTAGGACTGCGATTTACAGATTCACCGTCACGTCAACTTGCATTTATCCTACCAGCGCGTATTATGTGCTTTCCAACCAAGGCAGATTCAGAGCCTGGTTCCTCACAATCCAAGAAGAATGCTCCTCCCCCCCAGAATAAAGTAACAAAGTCCTCCCCGGCGAGAGCGTCCCGGCAGAAGTCCCGCGCAAGGCCCTTCCCTCGTGATTCACTGTCGCCGGAATTGGTTGCCGCTGCCATAGTGAAAGCTAACACGAAATCTCATGATCAGGACCCACAATCATCAAAGGATGCTGCTACTGCTCCTGAAGTAAAAGCAAGTACCGCTAGTGATCCACCGTTACCAAAGCCTGTTGCCGCTCCTCCAGCAACAGCAAGCACAAACCCCCCTGCTCGTGATCCACCATCGCTGAAGCCTGTTGCCGCTCCTAGAGGAACAGTGACAGCGAAACCCCTAGCGCGCAAGCCAACAGTGGGAATGTCCCTTGCGACGTTTGTGAGACCAGCAATTGCCGCTCCCCGCACTCATGTTCCTCTGTCAGTGGCTCTGGCACAAGCTAAATCATATCCCCTCCCTGGCGGTCCATTGTCGCCAGATTCGATTGCTAGACTAAAGGCGTACGCGAATCGCAAACCTAGTCCTCGTGATCCACTGGTGGCAGAGACCCTTGGGACTCTTGCAGCAGTAGCGAAAGCGACTCCCCCCACTCGTGATCCACTGTCGCTGGGGTCTGTTGCCGCTCCTAAAGCAGAAGCGAAAGCGAAATCCCCCCCTCCTCGTCCGTTGTCAAGAAAGTCGATTGCAACTCTGAAAGCAAAGACGCTCGGGAACATCTACTATGACCTCAACCGTGTTGGCAAGGTGCGCATTAACGTGCGGGAGGGCAGAAAAATCACCACCGACCGCACTCGCTACTGGCATGAGTGCAAGAAGGCAACGAACTTCATCAGTAAGATGGTAAATCTGGTCGCAGGGCTGGATGATTCGTACCATTCCGCCGAAGGCTTAGCGCTCTCGGACGAGGTTGATGATCTGCTGCAGCGCATCGGTTGGGAAGGGTTCGCGATCGCTGCCTACTCGGAAGCCTTTCGGCGCCTCCTCTCCCTAGACCAAGAGGTCGACACCCAGCTGCGGCAAGAGGTACTTGAGACCCTCACGGCCAACAAGAACAGTCTGGAGCTCTACGGCCGCGTGCGCAACATCGACTGGCGTGGCCTGCTGCTCCCGTACTCCAACGACAACATCCGCTACATGGGCCCGGCGCTGAAGCTTGTCAAGAAGTTCTGGGACCGCCATCCGCACGAGCTTGCGACCCCTCTCGACGGCGGAGACCATGTCGTAACCCCGAGTTACGATAATCATCGTCAGCCCAATGTCACCAAGAACATCTGGGACCCCGCAGACTGGAAGGACCACGTCGACCCGAAGGACAACCCCGAAATTAATGTCACCATGCGCTGGGCACATGTATATGATTTGGGATGTTGCGACTTCTGCGAATCCCCGCATGTCTGCCGGTGCGAGGTGCAGTCGATGCCCGGGGAGCTCGTGGAGCTCGTCAAGACGGCGGACCGGGGCATCGGGGTGCGCGCGCTGTGGCCCTTCCGCAAAGGGGACATCCTGGGCGAGTACATCGGGCGGCTCATCCCGGACGGCAGCAGGTCGGATCAGACCTATGCTCTGGGGTGGGAGGCGCTGAGTGACCCTCGTACCCGAGGCATAGTGTCCGTAGACGCATACTACCAGGGCAACTGGGCCCGGTTCGTCAATCATGTTTGCGAAAACGCGTCAGTCGAATACCGCTGCCGAACCTTTGGGGACCGCGCTGCCATGACGCTCGAGGCCACGCGGGATATCGCCATGTATGAAGAGCTTACAGTCAACTATGGGCCTAAGTACTGGAAAACGAGGCAATGCCGCTGCGGGTCGTCCAACTGTTATTCCGCAAGGCAGGCGGAAGCACCACCGAAGAAGGGGACAGCAAAAAAAACTGGGATGAGAGTTCCTCTCAGGGAAATCAAAGCAGGTGAAGAAGAACAGGAAGCTGTGACGGGAAAGGACGTTGCGGAAGAGTCACAAGCCCTACAAGGAAACGCCGGTGACGATAGTGAGAACATGGTGGAAGGCGGAGAAGGTGAAGAGGTGCTGTGTCCAGATCCATCATCCAACGTGGTCATATACCAAGGTCCGCCAAAGAACAATGGTGGAGATGGTGAGCACCCAGAGAAGGATGACCACAAGGACAAGAACTATGTTCCCGAAGACGATAGTGATGGGGACGATGATGATCCAGGACCGACGGTGGTGGAAGCAGCGGAAGTGATGGATCTGAGTGGTTGAGGGAGAAACTGAGACTGAGTCAATGATGAAGCTGTTGAATAGAGCGTATACTGTATACTGTACTGTTGTATAAGTTAGCTAGAATCATAAGAAGATGTTACTAAGCTTCAAGGTTAGTTAAAGGTCAATGATCCCAATTGGGAAGGCAGGCACAACCCCGCATTTTCTCTCCACAACACGTCAGGGGAAAGACACTCTCACTGAGTGAATGACCTCAAACCACCTCGTCTTCTGCTCTCATTCTTCCCATTTACTTGGCTTCATGCACTCTCTGGGTGCAAAAGGAACATCACCTTATATCAAACTCTGACCCATAACTTATACTTGATCCATACCACCATACCACTGTCACTGCCACTGCCGCCTTGAAGCAAGGGGTGAGGTACTCTACATTGACGTCTTCCGCCGACGACAGACTTGATATAGCTCCCATCCGATCCGAAATACTGCCAATGTATCGCTTCAATACAATCGTCCGCTGTCACCCTTGGAGGTCACACTGCCTGCCAAGAACCCTCCGGTCGTCGATAGCGTCCCGGCGCGGACTCCTTACTCAGAGCTATGCCCGAGGGCCATCCGAGGTAAGCTGCTGCACCTCGCCCAAAGCGTCCACCCTCAGACTAACATCCAGTTCCTCCAATTTGAAGCCTTCGTTATTTGAGTCGACGGTTGGCGATCATTTCACCCAGATTGTCAAGGTACATGGCGACCGCACAGCGTATGTCTACCCTGGATTTATCTTATCTGCAGGCCAGCCACAGCTGATTTCCCGCTAACCGATTTGGACCCAGCGTCATCTCCAAGCATCAAGACGAAAGACTAACATATGCCGCTCTGGACGCCAAAAGCAATGCGTTTGCAAGGGGCCTGGAATCCATCGGGGTGCGCCGAGGTGACCGAGTCGGAGTCATGTTGGGAAACTCCATCGAATATGCCATCGTATGCAAACAGCCTGCAATAAGATACCCAGTCGAAGCGAGGAACCAGCAGCTTACGAGGTTTCTATAGGTAACTTATGCACTATTCAAATTAGGAGCAATTTTGGTGAGTCTAATGCCATTCTACGGAATGCGTGAAAGTAGTCTCATTCGTTCAGGTACCCATTAATCCATCATTCAACACCGCTCAGCTAGCATCGGCCCTAAGTCACCTCGATACAAGCCATCTGGTAGTCAGTGCGGAGTCAAACTTGCCCCGAAAGCCTCCACGGAGCAATGTCCCACTTCTGGAGACTATCGTGCCGGATCTTACCAGCCCTCGACTAAAGTCAGAAATCATCCCTTCACTGAAGAATGTTATTCTTGTCGACAACTCTTCTGGTCGCTTTCAAGGCACCGACTACCGGGTACTTACGCCATATGCCTCACTTACATCAGACGCTGCCTCTGATGGGAGCTCTCTACCACCGCAGAACCTGTCCCCTGATGACATTATAAACATTCAATTCACATCCGGAACAACTGCAATGCCCAAGGCTGCCTGTCTGACGCACCGCTCAATTCTGAACAATGGCTCTCAGATCGGAGACCGCATGCGCCTCACCCCCGAGGATATTGTCTGCTGCCCCCCACCTCTCTTTCACTGCTTCGGCTCTGTTTTGGGGTACATGGCGACGGGGACCCACGGTTCTTCCATTGTGTTCCCGACTGAGTCCTTTAACGCTAGAGCCGCTCTCAAAGCAGTGCAAGAAGAACGGTGCACAGCCCTTTACGGTGTGCCCACCATGTTTCTCGAAGAGCTCAGTCTGCTCGAGAGTGGCGAGGTCTCGCCCGAAGGTTTCCAGTACCTCCGGACTGGCATCGCAGCCGGAAGCAGCATTCCAGCGGAGTTGATGAAAAAGCTTCACAAAATCCTCAACCTCACCGAACTAACCATCTGCTACGGCATGACCGAGACCAGCCCCGTCTCCGCCATGACTACAACCGACGACCCGATTGACAAGCGTATCCACACCGTTGGCACTCTCCTGCCCCACGTGGAAGCCAAAGTGGTTGACTTGACCGACCACCGCAAGATTGTTCCCGTCGATGTCCGCGGAGAACTGGCAGTCAGCGGCTACCTCCTGATGAAAGGATACTGGAACGACCCGAAGAAAACAGCCGAGGTGATGATTCCCGACGAGAACGGGAAAGTCTGGATGCACGTATGTCATTGAGTTCCTGAGTCTGATGATCGATTCCACTAATTATGACTACCCAGACTGGTGACGAGGCAACCATCTGCCCCGATGGCTACATCACAATCACAGGCCGCGTCAAAGACCTTATTATACGCGGTGGCGAGAATATCCATCCCCTCGAGGTAGAAAACTGTCTTCTTGCTTACCCCGGAGTCTTGAATGTTTCGGTCGTTGGAGTTCCCGACGAACGATACGGGGAGGCGGTGGCTGCCTTTATCATACACCGAGACCCCGACGGTGAGGATGCTAGGGAGGAGAAGGTGAAGAGATACGTCAACGAGACGCTGAGCAACCACCTTGGTGCGTACAGTCCAAGGGGCTTTCAGATTCGAGAATTGCTAACAGCTGAAATAGTCCCTAAATATGTGTTCTTCCTGCCTTCCTCGGAGTCGTTTCCGAAAACTGCGAGTGGCAAGGTTCAGAAAGTCATGCTTCGTGAGATTGCAGTGAAGAGCTTGAAGGAGAGGGAGAGCCGTTCTGTATGATGGACTGGCTTATCGGTCTGGACATCTACGCTACATGAAGAGCTATTGGTTAGGGCGGGAACTTACTTCGCTATCTACTCCTGGGGTCTTTTAGAGTAGGATTGGAAATTTACATAGATGCAAAACATATTGCTTCATGAGGGACAAACAGATGAATTATGGGTAGACAATGAGCGCTACGATTCGAATGCGCGCCATGAAACTTTACTTATCATGGACGTATTTGATTGAGCGCTGCATGATGAAATAGTTGGTTCTCACAGACCAACAGCAAATAAACTCCGTTGGCATTTCAAAGGGTATAATCGCTAGCTATGCGACGAAAACGCTCCACGTGCATCCAAACAAAAGACACACTCTTTTCGAGTGTACAGTGAAATAAGCCAGTCCGTGTCCAAGCAAACGAACGGACGGCCATGTCGCAAATATCCAAACAACACCCAATGCCCAAGAAACCGATCTTGGACTGGTGCATATCGAACAATCGTCGTTCTATCCACAACGACTTGTTCGTTCCAAAGAAGATGTCCAAAACTCCGCAATGCAGAAGTTCAGACCCTAGAGTCCAGAAGGAGCCCTTCCCGAACTCCCTCACCCAAACCTAACCCCAACCCCAATCCCCACAAGACATTGCCTTTATCTCGTGCACTTCACCCGAGAATCCACCTTCAACCGAGCATGATCATGCACGGCGCGGCTCCCCTCGGGCACAACCGGCGAACAGCACGCAATCCCCCTCACCCAGGGATCCTTTAGGATGTTCTCCACCGTCAGCCGCCGCTTGGGAACCGGATGCAGCATCCCCAGCACGAGCACCAACGCCGCGTAATCCGGGTATTCCTTGGCCTTGAACCCGCGGCCGCACAGGGGCCATCTCCCGGCGGCGGCGTCGAGGCGGGTAGGGGTAGTACCGGTCTTCGCCCAGAACCGCTGCCACCCCACAAAGCGGGCGTAGTGCTCGTCCCCGGGGTCGATCGCGTGCCGCCACGGGTACCCCAGCCCCAGGATCTGGCGGGCCGTGAGGGCACAGGCCCAGATGTCGGCGGCGCGGGGGTCGTACGTCGGTGCGGCTGCAGCTACATTGCTTGTTGCCGTTGCCGTTGCCGTTGCCGTTGCTGTTGCTGCTTCTGCTTCTGCAAGAGCAGCGGCCATGCAATTAGCCAGCCACATCTCCGGCGCGATGTAGGGCTCCGTCCCGGTCACGGGCGAGGTCGCACTCACGGTGATTGGGAGCGGGGTGCATTCGGCCCCGGAGGGCTGCTGGAAGCGGGAGCGGAAGCGGAAGGCGAAGCCGAGGTCGGCGAGCTTGAGCCGGGATCCCTCGCCGGAGAGGAGGGGGTTCGCTGGTTTGAGGTCCCCGTGCGCGATGCCTTGGCTGTGCAGGTAGCTTAGCCCTAGGAAGAGTTGCTTGATGAGGCAGAGTTGCGTGGCTTGGGGGAGGAGGAGGAGGTCTCGTTCGTGGGGGTGTTGGAGGTTCTGTTGTTGCTTGGGCTGGAGGAGGAAGAAGAAGAAGAAGAGGAGGAGGAGGTGGTGGAGGTAGTGGCGCTGCCCTCCACGAGCGAGCTTTCCATGCTCGAAATACACACTCTGTTCGAGTGCAGGCGAATGGGGAGAGTGGCCGCTGTTTGCATCTTCAGGGCAGCAGCTGCTATCGCTGGTAATCCTGATAGGGCTGGTCGACTATGTGATGATGATGATGATGATGATGATGATAATGCTGATGATAATGGGACAATGCTCAAAGCCCCGTCTGATATATCGACAGCCTATTGTTCGAGACAATGGGTATATAATCTTCTGCGCTTCGAGGTGCAGAAATCAGATGCCTTGCAGTATATAGAGCCTGCTAGGCGAGAAAATAGGGTGAAGGGCGAGGAGAACAAGGGTGGAAAGGATGAATAAGGATTATGTCAATGACAAGATTGGATGAATGTCACTGACGGGTAAGAATAGGCGTATGCCAATATGTAAAGGTGTGAATAGTGGTGCTTCAGACAATCAAGATATTGCTGCTGAATGCACAAGACAGCAGAGGTGGGGAAACAGGGAGAAAGGACGAAAAAGATGGAAGAAGAGACGAGGTGGGCATGGATGGGTTCTTCCTCCCTCGCCAGCAGAAGAGTCATATGGGGGATGACAGCATTATTGCTGAATTGCCTCAGCTTTTCTCCTTGACTTGATTGCCGGGATGAGGGTTATTCGGGCTCGCTAACCGTGGGCTCGGGTGAAAATTGTGCTGAGCAGCATCGTTAAGATGTAATTCTGGAAGTGGATTCCATGGGCAGGCGTTGAGAGTTGAAGAATGCATTTGGTTTGCGAGAGGGATGCAATTCAGGACAATCATGGCGGTGACAGGTATGGATGTCATGCTTCGGGAAAAAGATGCTTTAGAGACATGTCTCATCAAGTATATGAGAGAGAATAAGGAATGAGTGTGTACAAGCGGCCTCTCCATTCCCATCTTTACATTGTCCATGGTTTGGCATTCACCCAGGTACCTATGCATACATTCACTAAGCTGTATACTAAATCATTCACCAACAGATAGTGGCTCGGCACAAAATCAAGATCCTTATGCGTGGCTTGAATTTTCCCCGTAGGTTTTCCCCGCTGGAAACCTGTGTACCATGTGCTCCAATTACCCACGGTCCGGCATCAGCCTGACCCAGCAGCTGAAAGGGGAAGTGACTCACTACGTCAGTCGACTCCTGCGGAAGAGATATCCAAGCTCTAATGCAACAAGCACGGGGGAGGGGCGTGCTAGGACAATCGAATCCGCCAAAGCCAATTCTTAGCGAGCCGTGGAGGAGATCCCCAGTCCTGATCTGGTCTCGGCCGTCTGCCGGCCGAGGGCCACTCGGCACCAGCCATGACGTGGTGGTCTGGTATTCAATGACGCATGCTTGGGCTGTTCCTCCATGTCGGTCTTGACAGGCCTCGGAAAAGTCGTTCTGACGAGCATCAAACGCCAGTATGTCAACTTCCGTTGTCTCTGCAGTATGCGAGAACGGAATCCAGTCATAGAACTGCGCCGCAAAGAGCAAGTCATTACTCATCAGAGGCTGAGACTGAAAGCACGAGAAGAATCGTAGGTCAAAGTACGAGTTAACGCTCGGGACGAGCCGAGACTGCCCCGAACTGCGGCGTATCCGGATCCGCAAAACAACTGATCACGGCAAAGCGACTCAAAAGTCCTGAATGCCAGTCTCACCTTGAAGCCGAGACCTGACATCCCCACTGTCCCCGCCCTCGCCCTCGACAATCCATTCCGGCTCCTCGTCGTCAAAGTACTGTTCCTGCGCCTCGTTCCAATCGTCATATTCATCATTGTGATCGACGGTGGTGTAGTCGAAATCCGTATCTTCGCCCCGCAGAAACCGCATGGTCATCTCCCACTGCCACAGCTTCTCGCCTTCCTCCTTGCTGGGCGGGATCTCGTCTCTGTCCTCAGCGAGGATCTCCCCGTTCGGACCCCGGGTGTAGCTGAACATGGCGTGGGGGTCCGGGTGGTTCAACGCCTCGAATTTCGCTTCGGAGCGGCACAGGTCCGCCTGGAGGACACCGGAAAATCCTTTGGCGCGTCCTTCGGCTTCGCGTTCTGCGGGAGTTTGGAAACGGCGGATCAAACGGTCATAGAGCAAGGGGTCTGTGCGGTTGCTGGGGGTGTTAGCTTGACAATTACTATGTGGGTTGTTCGTGACGACTATAGCAGGCAGTGTGCCAGTCAAGTCATCAAAGTAAAACAGATATGAGCGACAAGCGGACCGGCTAGCTCGAGATCAGCAGAAAAGTACTCTGGGTGCATGTCCAGGTAACGCTTGCGACGGTTCTTGATCTGGGTGGCCGGGGAGGTGGGCATGGCGGAGGCAGGATTTGCCTCCATCTTGGGCGTCGTTGGAATGATACCCATTGGGAAAAGAGGCATTATCAATTAGTTCAGACCGGATTAATGCTAGAACATATGTCTTAGCGACAATAAGCAAGATTCGAAGAGGTCGAACGACAATAAACGACAATAAAGGTGAAGGGGGAGGGGGGGAAGCGGAGAAGAGAGGGGGAAAAAGCGGAAAAGAGCGGCGGGTGGCAGATTAATTCCTGCCGTCATCGAAGCTCCGCGGAACACACCAAGAACATCATCTTCCTCAGTGCTTGCTCAATCCATTAGTTAATTCCGACAACGGAGTATGGCTACTCGAGTTTCGAACTGAGAAACAAGGTAAGACTAGTCTCCCTCTTTCCGTTTCACATCCAGCTACTTGTCCTGTCATTGCTTGTCTGCGGGACGGTGGTCCACAGTCTGCCCCTGCTCCCCCCCAAAGAAAAAAGTGACAGCTCAAAATGGAATCCATTGAATTAACAAGTACCTTCAGGAAAGCTCCCTGGCCACAAGAATCACTCTGGTCAGCTTGAAGTTCACTCGAAAGGTGTGGTGCTGGCAGATTCCGTCATTTCAGAAACGGACACCATGTCTTCTCTTGGTGCCCTGTGGCAAAAACCCACCACCAGACAGCTGGTGACCGGCGCAGCACTGCTGGTGCTCACCGCGTTCTACTCGCCTTTGACGGTTCTGACTTTGGCCCCTGTCTATGGTACTCACGGTACACACGTCTTCCATGCCTATGGAGTTGCCATTGTGGCCGCTGTGGGATGGTTCATGAAGGATCACATCCAGCGACTCTCCGGCCGGAAGGCGGTCTACTTCATCCCAGTCGTGGCCTTCTGGATTCCCACCATTCAGACCTTCCTATTTTCGTCGAGCTCTGTTCTGGGAAATCCTGTCGGCCCCATCTTCACCGAGATAGCTGCCTACTATCCATTGGTCATCCTCTCTGTCGCCTGTGCAGGCAAGCTGGTGCAGGCAGGTCTGGATCTAGGTCGCCATGGTGAAGCCGTTGCCGAGCACGTTCCGCTCCTCTCCACCTATGTCATCTACAAGGTTGGAGAGAAGATCGCCAAGGCATTTCTGGGTAAGTTCATCGGATCGACCATCTTCTTCAGCCGCGCCGGCTTGCAATTCTTGCTGCCTGCCTTGTACTCTGCTGTCATCCCCTCCAAATTCCTGCTCTTCGCGGTCCCCTCCTTGCTCCTCTCGGCCACCTCCAACGTGCATCTCAGCGACGGAGCCCTGAACTCGTACCTGAACGACGAGGGCTTCGCGCTGGTTGCCCGTCAGGATTCCAACACCGGCTACATCTCGGTGCTCGATAACCTGAACGATGGCTTCCGAGTCATGCGATGCGACCACAGCCTGCTGGGAGGTCAGTGGACCAGAATGCCGCGCGGCTACAGCCCTGCCACCTTGGATCCGATCTACGCTGTCTTCACCATGCTGGAATCCGTCCGCCTCGTGGAGACTGACCACGGCGAGCCCCGTGTGGACGCCGACAGCAAGGCACTCGTCATGTAAGCACCAGAACCCTGCCAGCTCCACACCCACAAGGCTAATCCGTGCATACACAGCGGTCTCGGTGTCGGAACCACGCCTTCCGCGCTGATCGAGCACGGCATCGAGACCACCATCGTGGAAATCGACCCCGTCGTGCACCAGTTCGCATTGGAGTACTTCCACCTGCCCTCGAACCACATCGCCGTCATCGAGGACGCCACCACCTTCGTGGAGCGCTCTCCCCCGGCGCAGTATGATTATATCGTCCACGACGTCTTCACCGGCGGCGCCGAGCCCCTCGAGCTCTTCACCATCGAATTCATCGAGAAACTCGCCTCCCTCCTCAAGGACGACGGCGTCATTGCCCTTGTACAAACCCCCTTCCCCAAAAAAAGCCGCCGCGCAAAGCTAACACCAACAGAACTACGCCGGCGACATCACCCTCTACCCCGCGGCCCTGACCATCCGCACCATCCGCGCCGTCTTCCCGACCTGCCGCATCTTCCGCGAGGCGGCCGAGAACGACGACCTCAACAACGACTTCACCAACATGGTCATCTTCTGCAAGAAGAGCGCCGCCACCCCGCTGCGCTTCCGCCAGCCCACCGCCAACGACTACCTGGGCAGCAAGTTCCGCGAGACCCACCTGCTCCCCCGCCACGAGGTCGACCCCGCCCGCTTCGAGGTCATCCCGCCCAACGGCCGCCGCCTGCTGACGGCCCGCGAGTCCCACCTCCTGCACAAGTACCAGGATCGCTCCGCCCTCGAGCACTGGCAGATCATGCGCACCGTGCTGCCGGATCTGGTGTGGGAGTATTGGTGATTTAGTCTTCCTGCAAGGTCCAGGGAGGTTTCCCTAAAGCTTTGGCATTTTTGGAATAGGGATACACTCCCCCCACCCCTTCACCTTTTCTTGGACAATGTATTTATATTTAGAGGTGTTTTGTGTGCTCACAGATACAAAATCTGGGCGTAGTTATGAAGTAGTATCTGGCATCTTGTGCTAATGATTCTCTGTAATTGTACACATAGTTTTGCTGATGGTATTCAATATCCAACATTCACAACTTCCTTCCAAATCAGACAGAACCAAGACGAGGACTGGATGGACCCTCTCCATCTACAACCACAAACACTAAAGCATTCAGCACAACAATCTTCAATTGGTATCCGTATCCACAACAGAGAAAACTGAAACTGAGACTCCAGAACTGCGCTAATGAATTTGCATCATTCAGATGTGACAATGGGGATCCCCGCCCCCCTCCCCGAACAAACAAAACCAGGTCGACTACGTAGAGTCGAGTCCCATCGCCCCCAGGATCTCTCCTCCCTGATTTTCCCCATTCTTCAAGTTTCCGTTCCACGACGAAACTCCCAGAGAGATTACCTAGTACTAACTCTATGACTCCCCAATAAAGTCCAGTATCCCATCCCCAAAGCCAATCTGGTATCACGAAACAAAGCAGAGATCTCCCGGGATGCAATGCAAGAAGTTGCAAGTCCAGTGGGCCTCGCATAGCCCTCAGCAGGAAGCAAAAGGCCATCATCATACCCGGAAGACTAATCTCAATATGTACTGGGTGGGTAGATGTAGGTAGAGGAAGGGGCGAGAAAGAAATATTATTACAGGTTTGAAAATTTCGTCGTTGGGACAAAAAAGGTTCGTGCTGGTGCTGGTGCTGCTACCACGCTCCTCTAGAATGGCTTCAGGCCGATGGACTTCCGCGGGGACTGCCGGTGGTGCCGGGTTTTTTGACGAGGCCAGCGAAGAAGTTGGCCAGCGCTTGGTTGTGCGCTTTCTCGTCGCCGGTGGCCGAGGGGGTTTCTTTCTTCTGGGATCGGCTGGCCTCTCGTTCCTATAGATTGCGTAAGGACAAGCGGTCAAAGGGGCTTTGTTTTCTTTTTTTGTAATTGGTTCTCACTAACCTTGAGCTTGCGGAGCATGTCATCCGCGTCGACTTGGATACCACCCATGTTGAACTGTACAGGACCAATATGCTCGTTGACCCGGCCGTTGTCATCCAGCGGGGACATCTCCAGCTGCGGTACCTGCTTCGTTGTGCGGTCCTTCTCATCTTCCAACTTGAGCTGCTCCAGAACCTCGAGTTGTTTTGTGAGGAAGGTTTGCATATCGGATGTGTCGACCTCAATCTTGGTCCCGTTCGCTTGGCCTCCGGGGTGAGCCATCGACGTGTCCCGCTTGGGGTCCTTGATCGTCTGTTCGAAGATAGCGACCGCGCTTGTGCCGTCGTCGGCCGCCTCATCATCCAGGTCGCCGGCACTGGCGCCGTTGATGATCGGCTCCGGGGGGTCTTGGATCTCGATGGACCAGGCGGTTGAGACGCCATCCATGTCGAATCCTTCGCGGATGATCCGGATCTTGCCCCACGAATCCCAGTTCGACGGAACGAGGATCTTATCCCGGTCGATGACGTTGTGTTTGAATGATTGCCGTTTCAGTAATGAGTGGATGCCGAGGGATGAGTGTAATAAGCTTTGGAGGGAGTTGGCGAGGAATGGTGTGGTGTAGATAAGCGACGCGCCATCTGTGATTAATTAGAACTCGCAGGCCGAAGTAAGGGATGGTAAATTGCATACGCTTCAAGAGCAATGTTCTCATGAATTGGAGAATGAAGTCGAACTCTTCTTCGTGCCAGCCGTGGTCTTTCTCCAGCTTCTCGATCTTGTCGGCCTGGTTTATTCAAACAAAAGCATCGTTAGTTGTCGACCTCCCCCTAAAGCATCAGACCAGCTTACCCCTTGACACACAACACACATGGGTATACCGAGCCCTTCATCCCATTCGCCAGGGCCGACAGGTATCGTTACGGGACCACCGGAGCTCGTCAGACCCTGCGCGCCGGCCGAGCTGGCGTCCATGCCCCGTTTCCGATCCCTCCACTCGGTCATGTTCTCCTCCATGACGATCTTCGTCTCATCGTCGAGCGATATGAGGACATGTCTCAGAAGGCGCACCCACTCGCGCAGTCGACGCACCCAGGTCCAAGGGTCCGACCAGTCCAGCAGGATCACAACCAAGGTTTCCGGCACCGATTGTGCAGTTAGAAGTGGCTTGAGGAGGGGCGCAAAGGAGAGAGAGGGCTCAGAAAGTAAGTATGCGGAGACACGCGCCAGAATATCTTTTGTATGGAGCAGGTCCTCATTAGCATACGATTATGGCAAAAGAAGGAAAGGGCCCGCGGAGAACTGGCAATCCATCGGGAATAACTCAAATAAATACCTTCGTGATCAGCGTCCAGCACATCTTGGTAAGTATATCCTAAGGCGAACTGGTTGGCCACCGGTGGTACTCGCCCTTTTCGCCGGTCGTTTGACGACAGGCTGGGATCTGAAGCGTCGGCAGATAGAGTGTCGAGGAACTCTCTTTGAGTCTCCGGTGTGCCACCTAGATTGTAGTTTCCGCATTATCAGCATTGACCGACAAATGGATTCGGGCGGAAACATGGCCAGCGGTGCGGGCGCAGTACTGGAGGGGAGTTTTGAGAGGGGTTGCAAACCTAGGATTAACAGATTCTTCTCGGGAAGTCGCTTTCCATTTGCGACGCTATCTAGCATAGAAGACCAGATATTTTTCTTGGTGCCATCTTTGCTCGACGGCCGACTGTTGTTGCTGCCGGTCCCGAATCGGGACCCTGTATTCTGGCTCGACGCTAACATTGTCTATCTAATTTCGACCATGCTCAGCTGGCGCAGCTCATTCCAGGTCAGATCGAGGCAAGTATCTTCTGGGGGAGGAGTCGGATAAGACGCGTTGATTGCGGAACTTCGTGCGGATAGGTGGGAGTGTTTATCGGAAACCACACTGGAGTGTCAGGGGAATCTGGCGTTGGCCGCGCAGATCTCGGATGGCGGGGGAGGACCACGAAACAGCCCAGACGTTGTGCTCGCTCGCTCGCTCGCTCAAAAAAGACAGGATCGGACCGAAAGTTTAAAGAGTGCGGTGTTTTTTGCCACGGGTCGCAAAAAAAAAAAATAGGTGTCTTCGTGGTTTGTCGTGTGTGTTGGTGTATGAGACTGAATCGAGCGGTGGAGGAACTGACTGCGGTTTGCCTATTCTTTTCTAGCTTGTAAACAACTTATTAAAGAAAGCCATAGGTTTGGGACCGTCTTCTGCGGGTGGGGACCTTCCCTTCCCGCGGTCAAGCCCGTGATTTCGAACTTCCGCTTTGCTGCAACTCCAAGAAAGCAAGAAAGCAAGAAAGCAAGACCAGCAGCCCTTCTCTATCCTCACTCGGCACCTCACCCTCTGCTTTCGCAATTATTCCTTATACATGTATACTTTGATCTAGATCTCACCGCTTTCCTTACCTGCACTTGAAGCATGAATAATATCCGCCAAGTCCAAGCGCTGAACAAGCGCGAGCTTGAAAATGCCGTGTAAGTTGCCCCTTCTACCTATCCCCCCGGGGTTCCTTCCTCGTCATGGTCGCTGACCAGGTGGTCTCAGACCCCCAGAAGCCTCCTGGCACGCTGACTATCGCGACACCGCCTATATCTACATCGGAGGACTACCTTTCGACTTGTCCGAGGGCGACATCCTCACGATCTTCTCGCAGTACGGCGAGCCGGTTCACATCAACCTCATCCGCGACAAGGACACCGGGAAGAGCCGGGGGTTTGCATTCCTCAAGTACGAGGATCAACGCAGCACGGATCTCGCGGTCGATAATCTGGGAGGTGCCACCGTGTTGGGGCGGGTTCTGCGCGTGGACCACACGCGCTACAAGCGACGGGATGACGAGGAGGAGACGGACAACGTCGCGAGATTCATGGGGGAAGATACGGCCGGCGGGAAGGCCGTCGACGATCGAGATACCGATGACGAGCGGACGACAAGACGGAAGCGACGCACCAGCGAACCACGAGACGAGGAGGCCCGCAGACGCTCGAAGCTCAAGGAGGAAGTCGAGTTGGAGGAGCTGATCAGGACACATGACGAGGAGGATCCGATGAAGGAGTTCCTCATCGAGGAGAAGAAGGAAGAGGTGGCGCGTGCGCTGGAGAGGACACGAGCGAGTGAGAAGAAGTCCTCGCGCAGGCGAGACAGCCGCGAGAGATCGAGCCGTCACCACCGTTCTCACCGTCGCCGGTATGATGACGACCGTTCCCGCTCGCGAGAAAGGAGGATTCGGGATCGCCGATCGCCCGCGAGGGAATCTCGATCGCATAGAGACCGCCGCTCGACGTCCAGGAGACGAGACAGATCCTACAGAGACAGGACGCCGGTCGTGTCCAGATCACCCGAGCCGAGGCGCAACAGGGACCGAGAAGACCGCTATCGTTAGATGTCTAAAGCAAGGCTGTCTAATTATAAATTATGCTACTCAAAAAGGTCAAGCCTCTATCCAAAGCAATCAAGACGCCACCAAGCAAGTGCCAGGAGCAAGTTCCAGGAGCACTGCGCTCGCCCCTCGATAGCCAACTTCTGTGACTCGGCATGAGCTCCATCAGCAAAATCAGTTGATCCGCCATACGATATCCAATCCGCAAACGCATTGTTGGGTCGATCCTTGAGAATTTTCTGCAGTGTGGGTGTTGCCTGCAACGGAGATGGTGACTGTATGGCCACACCACAAAAAGACTAGACCACGAATGTCGTTGATGATGGAGCTCTCAGCAAACCGGACGGACACATTCCCCTTAGCCCCCTCCTAGGTACCTCTTCCAGCCCGTTCTGTTACAATAGAGTCTGCCGTCATCGCCTTCGTGAAGGACAAATTTCTCCCATCGCCCATCCCTACCCGAGCCAATCACGAGGATGGTTTTATCATCGAGCCAGCCGATGTTCCCTTTGGACGGTTTCCCAAGTGAATTCCCCAGGGGTGGAGGGTTATAGGCTGACTCGGATGACTGTTCGTTGCCTATCTCAAAATGTGCAGTGGCAGATGAATATATGTCAGAGAAGAATCCAGGGAGCATGGGAACCTTTGACAAGAAACCCCACTTTGATTCAGTTTTGGGCACTGGAAAGACATGCAGGGTCGATTTATCGGACGTCACGGCGAACAGCGTATTGGAAGGTGATATAGCAATCGAAAATACATCTGCTTCATCAAGACCCCGGCGTACCTCGGTTATCCTCGTGCAGTTACTAGTAGAATAAATCCGGACCATAGTGCCCTAAGAAAGACGTAAGTTACCATCAAATCATAGCCTGCTGTACATGGGCAAAGGCTCGGGTGCTCTTACCCTCTTGCTCGCCGTGGCCAGAAGCGCGCCATCCGAGCTCAGAGTCATGGCCCGCAGCGGGTGCGCGTGTGCTGGGATGATGCTCACGTTCCCGGTCTCAAGCTCGACCAGCTGGACTTGCCCGAGAGATCGGCCGGGAAAAGCAAGTAGCTTCTCCCCCAGGCAAACCAGACCCAGAGGGTTGTCCACTGTTTCAAAGACCGAGAGCTTCCGCGGAGGGATCGAGAAGGCAAAGATATGGACACTGTTCAGCAGCGCGACGACTATGTGCGACTTGGACAGGCGGACGCCCAAGACCGAGGTGCGGAATTCAAGGGTGATGGCGGCTTTCTGCTTCGCGTCGTCCCAGATCACCAGCTAGACACGAAACCATCGTCGTCAGTACATAGATTCGCTGCATCACAAACCAAGCACGTCGAGGAAGGGGGGAGAAAGGAGGGAGATTCCGTGGCGCACCTTGTTCTGAGGGAACTTCGGCTGTCTTCCTCCGCCG